ATGGACCTTACCGAAGCGACCGCACCCGTAACCTCTTTGCTTGACCTCGGTTTTGTCCCACCTTGTACCCAGCTCATGACTGTCCCGTGTAAAGCTTCCTTTGAGAAGTGGGCTCGGGGGCAGCACACTCTCTGGTCCCCTCCTCCCCTCTCAGACGGAGCTGTCTCTCCCTCAGGAAAATTTCCTGCGCTTAACTCCATTGATCCTCAGAACTCATTCTCCGATTTGGGGGAGCACGATCCCAGCACACTGGGTATCTAGCAGGTCGATACGCTATTTCCCCTCTGCTCTCTCATTTGGAGGGCCTATGACACTGTGGCACAGCCCTACTCCACAGGCTGAGGCAGGAGGATCTCAGTTGGAGCCCAGCCTTTACAGAGCAGCTTAGAACAAACATGCCTCAAAAAGTAAAAAGGGGCTGGGGGTGCAGCTCCGCGGACACTCGCGTGTGCAGCGTGAGGTCCTAGCGCGGGGCACCCGTGTGGCGAGGAGGGTCGTGACCGTGCTATGCCTGCTGCTGTGCAAACCAGGAAACTGAGGCTCGGGGAGAAGACCCCAGGCTTCCCTAGGGTCACAGGGGCTGAGCTGAGCTGAGCTGAGGAGCTCCGGGCCCCAGCCCGGGGGCTGGCGGCATCTCCAGCTGGGGAATGAGGTGGGGTTCAGCCCGCCGCGCCCCTTCTGTGTGCTTCCAGCCTTGTGGCCGCCTTTGGCCAAAGACGGAAACTGAGGCTCAGAGCGGGGACCGCAAGCGGGGCCGTTCTGGGCTCAGGGAGCCACATCAGGGCTTCTGCCTTGGTCTCCGCGCAGTCACCGCCTCTGCCTCTCCCCAGCCTCCCGGCAGCCTTGCCCTGAGGCCCCCGGAGCACCCCGTGCCTTCCCCCCAGCTGTGCCTGTGGTCAGGGCCGCCCGGGTGCAGCCAAGGCCGCAGCTGGGCCCGGGGGCAGGAGCTCTGGCCTCGGGCACCCGGCCAAGGCCTCCCCAGGGGTGCCTCCCCCCGCAGCTGCACTCCCTCATTCCTCCCGGGCTCCCCACATCCCAAGCCCAGCCACAAAGCATCGTTGCCATCGAACACCTTTATTCACTCAACAAACGCACCCTGAGCCCACTCTGTGCCCACCACACTGAAGCCTCCCTCCGCCCCGCCCCCGAGGAGCCCCCAGGTCAGGAGTTTGGGCGGGAGGCACAGCGTGAATAGGGGTATACAAGGGAAACTCTAAGGACACCACAGCTGGGGCTTTGAGAAATGAATAAGAGTCTTCCAGGCTGCTGGTGAGGTCACTTCCCTGAGGGGTCTTCACGAGGCCCAAGGTCACACTGGCCGGGCCAGAGACAATGCAAAGTCCACCCTGGGGATGCAGGGAGGACAGGGCACGAGTCTGCCCTCAGGAAGCCAAGCGGCGCGGAGGAGACCAGGTCACACAATCGGCCACTACCCCCGGCCTCCGCTCCACAGCGCCTCCAGCTGGGGGCCCAGGGCGCTGAAGGTCGGCCGGTCCTGCGGGCTGGGAGCCCAGCAGCGGCTCATGAGCTCGTGAACCTGGGGGCGGGGAGAAGCGGGTCAGGCCTGAGCAGTCCGAAACCTCCCACCGCTCCCTGGGACCTGCTGCCCCGGCTCGGCCTTGGGTGGACACATGTCCCTCCTGCAGCCTCCCCGCCCACAGAGCGCCCCACTGCACCCCCCATCTCCCCCGCTCACGTTTCCCAAGGTTTTGGCTGTTTTTCACCTCAGCTCTTTATTTTTATTTTAGGACAGGGTCTCGCTAGGTTGCCATGGCTGTGGAGAGCTTGTGAACTTGCGATCCTCCCGCCTCAGCCTCCCAAGTAGCTGGATGCCAGCGAGCTCATGCCCGGCGCACTTCCCACACGTAAGCATTTTCAGTGCTCATAGCTCCTGCTGGTTGCTGGGAGAAGGAGCCGCGAGGGCCCCATGGCCAGGATAGGGGCTGGCACAGCTGGCGCTCAGTAATTGTTAGTGAAGGGCTTTGTTGTTTTGGTTTTAGCTTTTGTGGGTTTTATTTTAATTCTGGTTTGGTTTTGGTTTTTTAAGACAAGGTCTCACTATGTAGCCCAGGCTGGCCTCAGACTCCCAGCGACCCTCCTGCCTCGGCCTCCCCAGCGATAGGATGACAGGTGCACTCCACCACGCCTGGCCTGAGTGCATAAACTTACGAATGACCAATGGCCTGCGAGACACTAACCCCAGAGTTAGAAGTGCGCACCCTAGAACTGCCCCTACCCATGGAGCCCCACGCCCGGCCCAGACCCCGGCTAGCGCCGTCGGGGATACTGAGGCAGGCGCGCTCACCTCCGTGGGGCAGGCGGCAGGCGCGGGCAGCCTGCGGCCCTCGGCGAGCAGCTCCAGCAGGCGGCACAGGGCGGGGGCGTCGCGCTCACAGCCCATCATGCGCATGAACTCCTGGGGGTCAGCGGGGGACAGTGTGGGGACACGTGGAGCGACCGCGTGGGGACAGTGTCGCTCTGGGAGCCGAGCCGCGCGGGCACCAGGCACTCACGGCGGAGGGGCTGCAGCTGGGGTCCCCAAAGGAAAAGAGCTCGTACAGCACCACGCCAAAGCTCCACACGTCCGACTGGCGCGAGAAGACGCTGTCCGCCAGGGACTCGGGCGCAAACCTGCGGTCAGGTCACGGTCTCGGTCGGGGAGATGCCCCACCTGGCCGCAGTCCCGCCCGGCCCCAGCTGTGGGGGGCCGGGGCCGCCCTTAGGCGCAGGAAGTGGGCCGGGCTGAGCGAGGAGGAGCCCGCAGCGGGAAGGGCGGGGCCAACGGTGGGGCGGGGCCTGGGAGGACCAATAGTGGGGCGGGGACTGGGGGGCCAATGGTGGGGGCGGGACCTGGAGCGAGCCAATGGTGGGGCGGGGCCAGTAGGGGTGGTGGGCGTGGTTGGAGGTGAGTAGAGCTGGAGAGGGAGGGGTCGGAGCTGGGGCTAAGCTGGGATAGGGAGTAGAACTGTGAAAGGGGTGGGGTAAGTGTGATGGGCGGGGCTATATGACTAGACGGGGCGGGGCTGACCTGGGCAACAGGCAGGACCAGCAGGGACGATGGAAGGGCAGGGCTAAAGCCGAAGGAAGGGCCAGGCAGCAAGAAGAGGTGGGGCCAGTGGTGGGTAGTGGGCGGGAGATGACGAAGGGCGTGGCTAAGAGCCAGAGCGGCGAAGGGGTGGGGCAAGTCCTAGGTGGTGGGCGTGGCTTGAACCACTGGGAGGCGGGGCTAGGCCAGTAGTGAGGAGACTAGGTAGGGC